AGCATCTAGAATGTCTAAACCACGACCAAGCCTAATCCCAGTTTGCGGCACTTGGGGAGAGGAGAGGATGGGGAAATTACTTTGCAGAGCTAAAAGTCATGCTAGCATGACTCTGTAATCAAACACTGCCCTGTCTCCGGCCAGGAAAATTGGGCTTGGTTGCAGCAGGCCCTCAGGTGACATGGTTCAGTTTGGTCCTGCTTTGTTAGGTATTGGTCCTGCTTTGTTAGGTAGGTGGCCTTTTGTATTTGGTAGCCCATGACAGCATCAGGTGCTGAAATTTAGGTCTGAGTCTCAAAGCCTGAGGTCCACACTTACTCACCCAGCATCTTACACATCCTCCTGCTCTACATCCCAAGCACTTCAGCTGAAGTAAACAACAGAGCTGAAATCAATTGGAGAGAGAATGCAGCTGTTATTGTCAGGGAGAGCACAGAGTCTGCAAGCAAAACACAGTGGGGAGATCTCTTGAAAAACCGGAGGAGTTTAGCTCCGACTCTGTTTGCTGCCAAACAATGTTAGTACAAATGGAGCTTAATATTGTCTGGTTGCCTTGTTCTTTTGCTTTCTCTCACACACCTTTTATGCATCAGCTGCATGTTGTGATATCAAAACCCATAGAAAAGAGGAAAGATCACAGGGGGAAGAGAATCAATGTCCCCACCACAGATGTTGCTCATAACTTTGAATCCTCCACGCCTGTGAACCGTTTGCTGCTCCCTGAAGGCAGAGCTGTACTTGGCATACAATTTGCAGCAATCACACAGATGCAGCCGGAGAGGAACAAGCATTGGATTCGATGGCCTTTTCTTCCTGCCATTTCTGACATGAGGCGTTGTGCACGTTCCTGATGAAGTGAAGACCAGTTGTGACCTCATTCTGCCCCACCGGAATAATTTGAGGGGAGGGGAGGAAACCACATTTGCAGGAGAGCTGCAAATGAAGTCCCAGCTCTCCCCTGATTTACATTGCTGTTCAGATTGTGGGCAAATACATGAAAATCCATATGGTTAATGATGCATGCTTCCCATTATTTGACAGCAGAAAATAGGTACACTTGTTTTATGTTACACTAACAAGGGATATACGTCACAGTAATGGGCAAGTCCAAGGGTGTTACCACAGGACCTGGTTCTGTGGCCTGCTTAAGTTGCTTTGAAATCCTGGCTTCAAAAATCTGTTTCCCTGCAGCTAAAGATGGAAGCATGTTTTGTATTTAAAGATAATAAATTAGCACATTTATATTGCTGAGGCAAGTTGAACATTCATAATATTATCAGAGTTTTAAATGAGCTCAAAGAGTTGTTGGATGCAGTTCCCAGGTGAAGCCAACAGCATTTGTAGATGTGACTTAGAGTCAGTTCAGGCATTTGAAATCTTCCCCACATAATGAATTCCCAGTTGTCCCTAGGCCTGTATTTAAATGGAGAACAGAACTGATGTCTCTGATTACCTGCCTGGACACAATTTGTGCTGTGATTGTGGGCAAATATATATATATATATATATATATATATATATATATATATATGCACAGAGCCTTGGGGGCACTGCCAGGGACACTGGAAATATGATTTAGAATTGAGTGCAAGAGGTAGAGAGGCACTGAATTTTGGAATTGCTGAAATTTGAGACCCCAAGATCTGCCACTGCTGGGAAAGCAGAAAAACTACATAACGCTTCAGCACACAGATCAAGGTTTGTTTGTGTGTGTATGTTTCTGTCGAGCTGAAGAAGATATAAGGAAGCTAAAGATAGGTACCCCTAACAATATTTGTGCAGATAAATGCCATTTCAGGCAGGACTTTAAGTACTGCTGCACTCTGGCATTATCCTGTCACTTGGAGACCATTCTTCTCTAAATGCTCTGGTAATCTTTAATGTGACTAGTTGCATCAGACAGCAAAGGAGCAAATGGATATGTGAGGCCATTTACCTGGAACACTGAGCATCTCCAATTATTCATTTTCCACAAGTAACGAAGGAGCAAGTTAACAGCCTGTTGGGTCTGAAACATCTCTATTATTTAGAGAGGTAGGTTCAGAGGGCATAGCAATTTTGTTTTTCCAAGATGTTTCAAAGCACGGGCCCAAGGGCACAGAAGGCAAATTCCTATAGGTACTACCAAAGAATGGCCTGGGATAATGGGAATTGTAGTATAGTATCTGTCAGGGACCATGCTGACGAGGGCTGCACTGAGGAGGCATGGTGGGAGCCACCCTGATCCTGAATCTTCCCAGGAACAGGAGGACAACATAGATTTGGAGCAGTGGTTTGCAGAGGGGCATAGTTCAGAAGGCAGAAGCTGGGAAATACTGTATGGGTAACAGCTAAAAGAAGAAGAAACACTGGGAGAGAGAGAGTTAACAGATTCATAATCGTTGGACAGCATTCCTCCACCACCCTCCCCAAGGTCGAGAAGAGTTCAGAAAGTCTCAGAACAGAAAGCACAGAGGGTACAAGCTCAGATTACAAGACGTAGGAGTGGCATAGATTAATAGCAATGGAGCGGGGAGTGAGACTTAATTGAGAGCACCACCATTCTAGGGAGACACTTCCTTTTGTCTCTCGCTGTGTTTATTAAAGAAACTAACTGGTAAGACTTTCTTTTTCTTTGACCTGCTTATTTACTGCCACTGGGGAGGATGCTGATTCCCTGACACTATCAGTGGCAACTCATGATGATGATATGACCTCCTGCATCAGACATGGTGTGCCTCTGAATACTAGTTGCTGAGGATTACATAGCATGGTTGCATTCATGACCAACTTGTTGTCTTCCCACTGGTTGACCACTATCAGAACAGGATACTGGACCTGATAAGTCTCTGATCTGACCCAGTGGGGTTTTTCTTCTGTTCTTATGCTACAGCATACCCCTAATGGTCTTGTCTCTACGCCTCAAAGGTTACACCTTTACCCTGTTCTTCATTATTCTATAGCAGTTTGGTGCAAGTGAAGAGGAAGGTGGCTAGCCACTACTCCGACCATTTGGCAAATTGTTTTCAAACCATTTCAATCCAAGAGACCACTGTCAACCATCAAAATTTATTCCATACTTCCATCTGTCCTTAGCAGCGAAATCCTGGCTGCAAGGGAATCAAAGTGTTGGCAGGCACTGGCTGGGCTGTCTGCTTATTCCCTGATGGGTGGATACCTGCCAACAGGGGATAAATGAATAGATCAGTGGGTGGGCAACCTGTTCAGCACCGAGAGGCAATTTAGAAATATCCAGAGCCAAAGGGCTGCAGTTAATTTGCATAAATTAGATGCATGTAATTCACAAAAGTGGCAGTCATTTCCATGTGCTGGCAAGAATGTATTAACAGTATTACAGCATTCTTGATTTTTTGTGGGGAAATGGAGACACCCAGCTTGAAAGCATCAAATGTGAACTAAGAAATCCAGAGATCTAGAACACAGTCATGCCTTTATTTCTTGCTACCTTTCACTATTTTTGCCATCGTATTTCAAAAACATTTCTCAATGTCACTGAGGATCAGAACCACGCTCCTTTGAAAAGGAAACCTGGGATTTTGCACAATGCTGACAAGAGGCCACAGAGGCCAAAAACAACCTTATGGGTCTCAGTGTTGTCTCTTCCCTGAAATGGGATGGGGAAACCACCAGTAAACCACAGCAGCCTATGGCTTTGGCTATTGAGTTAAAGGGCACATGATCTCATGAAAGCAATGGCAGAGGTGATAGGTGCACAGTGCATATCTGAGCTATAAATGACTTGGCATGGCATTGGGGAGTATGAATGGGTTATAGATTAAAACCTGTAGAAGAATCTCCTCAAAGATCTAATAGAAACCATATTACTTTGCATGTTCAAAAGACTCAGCCACACTGTTTGCAACATGTACCATGAAACAAAGCTTGCTTGCTACTTACTGGGCATCCATACAAAGACTGAGATGAAAGCAGGTTTACTTTTCACAGACATTTTGGGAACATCAAAAGTGCTATATTTTGGCAATTCTGTGAGTGCTGCATAAAAAGGGATAAGAAATGTCCACCTTTCCAGAAAGGATTGCTGTCACTTGCCAATACTGATGTCAGGAATTAGCCTGCAGCCAATATATTACTGCAATTAAATGTGTTATTATTCATTTATTTGAAATATTTATAACCCACACAACAATGCAGGTACCAGAGCAGGGAACAGAACATAAAATAAAACCAACCAACCAACGAAAACATCAAAAGCACCAACAATACAGATTAAAATATGCCATCAAATAAATAAAGTAGGTGTGTGAAGCCTTCAGAACTTATGAAAAATTGAGCTGAATATAGCTTACCCAGTTCAGTTTTGATTTGTTCTGAAACAGAGATCATGAGTAAGGAATGAACACAATTGAGTATATTTTTCATACGCATAACAGGGCCAAGAGCTTGCCTTTGTCCTGTGACAGTAGCAGAGAGGATATTGAAAACAACACTACGAGTGGAGTCACCATTTTAATATTCCTGTAATTATCTTCTGGGTGTTGTATCATTTTAGGACATTCTAGAGGGGGAGATGGACGCTTCCATTTTCTCTCCAGAACAAATGTTATGATGATAATGATGATGATATCATCATCATCATTTGTATACCTCCCTACATCTGCAGATCTCAGGATGGTTCACAACATAATTATTTCCTTCCAAGTTGTAATGGCATCCTGTAAAGTATGTGAGCCCTGGTTGGCTGGTCCACATATGACTAAGCAAGCAAGACAACAACAAAGTAATGAGAAGGGAAAAGTACAGAAGTAGTTAGAAACATAGGAAGCTGCTTTCTCCAGAGTCAGACCATTGCTCCATCTGTGGCTCTGAATTGCTCACACTGACTGGTTTCATAGAACCATAGAATTGTAGAACTGGAGAGTTGGAAGGGACGAGGGTCATCTAATCCAACTTCCTGCAATGCAGGAATCTTTTGCCCAACGTGGGGTTCTAACCTACAACCCCGTGATTAATTCATTCAGTGGTTTCCCCCAGCCCTTCTCTAGAGATGCCAGGGATTAAACCTGGGACCTTCTACATGCAAGGCACATGCTCTACCACTGAGATACAGTATTCTCTCTGCAGGTAAACACTGGAAGTGCTTCTGACCCAAAATAAAAATGAAAGAACATTGGCAAAGCAGGTTGTTGCAGGCTGAAGGATGATGCTTGGTGGAGTCATCTTGTAAAACTGTGCTCAGCAAACAGGGGGAACATGTTTTATTGCAGGTGGGGGAAATGAAGGCATTCGGTTTTGCTGCTACAGGTGCACCATGGCATTTCTTCTCTCTGTGCTCCTTCCAGTGGTGAATACACGGCCTGACTGTCTGCCTCCACACTATATACCATCAGTTTTCCAGAAGCAGCTTTTAGATTGTGTGAAAGCTCAAATTTAATGTGGGAATTAACAGGTAGGAAAATGTCAGGGAAATGGAATAAATTGCCGTGCAAATGCAGTCCTAGTGTGCAGTTACACATGTCTACATAGAAACCTGACTGTAACCGCCGAGACCATATAACACCGGTCTTGAAAGACCTACATTGGCTCCCAGTACGCTTCCGAGCACAATTCAAAGTGTTGGTGCTGACCTTTAAAGCCCTAAACGGCCTCGGCCCAGTATACCTGAAGGAGCGTCTCCACCCCCATCGTTCTGCCCGGACACTGAAGTCCAGCGCCGAGGGCCTTCTGGCGGTTCCCTCGCTGAGAGAAGCCAAGTTACAGGGAACCAGGCAGAGGGCCTTCTCGGTAGTGGCGCCCGCCATGTGGAATGCCCTCCCCCCCAGATGTCAAAGAGAAAAATAATTACCAAACTTTTAGAAGACATCTAAAGGCAGCCCTGTTTAGGGAAGCTTTTAATGTTTAATAGGTTATTGTATTTTAGTGTTTTGTTGGAAGCCGCCCAGAGTGGCTGGGGGGACCAAGCCAGATAGGCGGGGTATAAATAATAAATTATTATTATTATTATTATTATTATTATTATTATTATTATTAAACATGGCACACCTTGTCTCCACTTTGTCCTCACATTATGACTAGCCACAGACAGTTGACCACATCATTGCCTCCTGCTTAGACAGTCCACTATGCTCTAAATTTGATTCAAACTGCAGGTTCATGAACTCTGAAAGGTGCTATAAATCACTGACTTTCCCATCACACATTTGCAACATGTTAATCAAATTCTTCTCAGAAGTTGAGGGGAGGGACAAAATATTTCCATTCCCACTGTCTGCAAATATCAAAGGCATCAGAACAGCCGGAACAGAAAAGTTTTTATAGATTTTATGCTTGGCTTACACACACTGCTGTAACAGACAATTATCCTAAGACTGAGAAAGGTAAAATTGCATAAGTTTTGTATAGGAAAAAGCTTCACAGAGATTTCAAATTTTATTTGAATTTTTAATCCTCAAACAGGCATAAAATGGCAGGGATTATAGGTTTTTCTTGCAAAAGGGGTGATGGTTTGCAAAGAGGTATCACGAATAGCACACACCGACTTGGGTATCTCATTTCTTCACCTCTAAATGTATGTCTCCAACTCCACCCATACAATGGGGATTATTCTTAAAGTGACATTAGATTTTCAAAATATCCTTGTTTAAAATATGAGTAAAGTGGCAAACTAAAAGTCGGTATGCCTCAGATCTTACAAAAAATAATGGCCATAGCATCTGTCTTAATTCCACAGCACCAGATGACTCCGGTGTTATGATGGGACAAAAAAGAGCATTGTGCTCAGTCTTGATATTTTATCGGTCTAATCCCAGCAAATCGTTTTCCTGCATAACTATCTTATTGGGAAAGTTGGCTGCAATCCATCAAACACTTCTTTGCCATTAAATATAATTATATACTTTGCTGAAATAACCAGATGTTTAGTGCTGCTTTGAGCAGATGCCTGTGCTTCATACTGGAAGGTTATAAACCTATTTACACTAGCAATAAACTACACAAGTATTTAAATAATAACATGAATGAGGCATCTTAAAATCCCCTCAACAACAAAAAAAAATTCCCTAGTCATTTGCTCGAATGAATAACATTTAACACGCACGATGCAAACCCTACATTTAACAGCGACTACCTAGTTTGAATTTCTGGAGCTTTTTGAGTCATAAATCGTTCCACTTCTGTGTACCTCTTGCTCTTTACCTCATCCTCACTTCTGTACTTTTTTCCTCCCCCCTCATTTTGTCTCTTTGTCTTAGCTGGGCTAAGGGGGCAGCACTGAGGCTTTGTTTTGTAGTGCTGTGTAAAATATATAAAACTTTAAGTAAATAATAAATCATTGGTTCTGCTTTGAACCACAGTAAGCTATCAGTAGCTTTGCAAATGGGTATATCAGATGCTGAAGTTTCAATGAGCTGGTTGACATTTTTCTTCTCCCTTTAATGACAAACAGGTGCCTTCAGTTATTTTATCTTGGAAAGCAGCGTGTAAAGGTTACTGTGAATGGGCCTGTCACATTTGTTTCTCTGAAGCAATAACCATTTCTGCTTTCTAAAGACCTTCCTCTGGGCATATAAAAGTTGTATAAGTTGTCATAGAACAAGGGTTCAGGATTATGGGGAAAGTGGGAGTGGTAGGAAAAGAGGGAGGGGAAAATGATTCTGCGGAGCGTAATGGGGTGTATGCCCCACCCCCACCTCTTAGTGGTTGCAGTTGGAGTGATCCCAGTCCTGCTGCCACACTCTTCTGGGTTCAAGTAGAAGGGGCAGGCTGGTGAAACCAACTTCACAGCATCAACCAGATCTCCAGCCTTTCTCCATGATAACATCCAAAGTCTGAGACCCTTGCTTTAAAGCAGGGTTTCCCAAACTTGGATTGCCAGCTGTTTTTGGACCGAAGCTAGTAGGACCAGTGGTCTAGGATGATGGGAATAGTAGCCAAAAACAGCTGGAGACCCAAGTTTGGCAAACCCTGCTTTAAAGGGACCTCTCCTAGCTCCTCCAAGGAAGGGACTGTTGAGTGAGCTGTCAAGGCCTTGAAACAGAGATAAGAGTTATTTATTTCTGTTATTTACTCCTTTGCCTCAAGCCAATATAGCAGCTGGCCCAAATGCAGATGGTCCACAGCCTCCTTAGTCTGACACAAGCCTTAGCTATTGCAGCTGCACATGTGACATCATTTGTTATGCCATTACGGGCCAGTCACTTACAGTAGGACAGCCCTAGAATGTAATGCTAGCATCATGGAGGTGAGGATAGGAGCAGGAGATGACGAGTGGCATGGATGGAGAGAGCTTGGAATGGGCAGCTATCGTCTGAGCAATCATTGCCTAGAATTCTTTAAGACCTTTGGAGTGTCTAAATCAGGCATGGGCAAACTTGGCCCTCCAGATGTTTTGGGACTACAACTCCCTAGCTAACAGGACCAGTAGTCAGGGGCGATGGGAATTGTAGTCCCAAACATCTGGAGGGCCAAGTTTGCCCATGTCTGGTCTAAATGCTGAAGCCACCTTATGTGCAAATAGTCTCTTTTCAGATATTTACCTCAGCATGCGTCCAGCTATCTATGATCGATTGGTCAATTGACCACACTGCTTTACACTCCCCTGAGAATAACTGAGGGCCGGCATGAATCCATAATCTTCATGATGGATATATGCTGTGTGCTGTTTGCCAAGCAGCAACTGAAGTGAGCTGGATTCATTTGGCACACTCATACACACTACTAATAATGTTCCAGGAAGTTTTTCTTTGGGTAGAATGAAAGGGATCAAAAATCTGGAACTGAACCAGAACTTAGAGTCAAAGGGCTGGATTCAACTATTCTGTTCTGCTAGTAGAAACCAGTGCAATGACTCTTGCTAGTGGAATAGTGGTCCCCCTTTTGGGAGAGCCCTATTGGGGGTTTGGGAGAGCCTCCAGAACAGCACATGGAATGGGGGGGAGATGGCTATGTCAGGCAAGCAGAAACGCTCACACTGATTGAATGATCTCCTTAGCACTTTGCTGAATTCCACACAAAGGAGGAAAGATTGCTTTGTCAGGTGGAAATGCAAAGCCTTAGTAGTAGTAATAGTAGCAGCAGCAGCAGCAGCAGCAGCAGTACACTGCCCATCTCACTGGGTTGCCCCAGCCACTCTGGGCAGCTTCCAGCATATATAAAAACATAGTAAACATTAAACCTTAAAAACCGTCCCTGTACAAGGCTGCCTTCAGATGTCTCCTAAAGGTTATATAATTACTCATCTCCTCAACATCTGATGGGAGGGCATTCCACAGGGTGGAATGAGAAGAGGGTTCTCATGGAGGTGGTAAATGTTTGTCTGGTTTACTGACCATATCATATGCCAGGAAGGGGGGGGGAATTGTGTTGACTGAATGCTCACACTGAAAGGAAAAAAAAAAGGGGGGGAGAAATCCCTGTGACATTGGGTATGCCCTAGGCCATGCTTTCTACCCCCACACACCCAAGTGGATGCCAAGGTCCAGCAGGACTAATCATGGCCTGTTGTGAACTGAGTGTGCACCCTCAAAACAGTCTCTGTGACAGATAGGGATGGGAGAGAAATCCAACTTAGTTCACTTTTAAAGGCAAATGTACCTAATTCACATTTTCTGAAACAATATGAGAACCAAAACACAGCCATTCTTTTTTCTTTTTCCTACAATGTAATTGAATTTTTTCACAGAAGTGCATTAGAAGAGTTCACTGAGTATTGCAGCACAAATGTACAAAAATAAACATAACCCAAAGGAGCAAGTATAAAAGGAACAACATGTCTGTTGAACAGAATAAACTGTCAATAAACATAAGAAGATTGCATCCTATTTACCTATAGTTCTAGACCTCTGGCATCTGCCTGAAGAACAACTAACACGAAGCTCCAGAGCATATACTTTTAACAGAAGATGGCTGCCTATGAAAGGAATCCACATTTGCTTCTAGCTTTGCATCTGCAAACCATCTGGGCATTTATTGAAACAAAGAGGTAATGTACGTGAATGGAAGCTTGTTCATCCAAATGGATGCTCTGCAATCTTTCTTAAATTAATATAACTAAGAATGTCTGCCCTCCTGTTTCCTTGGGATTAACAATGGCTGCTGATATACATTTTTCATGAGGCAAT